CTCACAGTGTCAAGGGGAAATTTTCCTTATCGGGGAGTAGAAAGCTATTCTTTGACACCCATGCTCTAGTGTGCCTGTTGGAAGAAAATGGTAACTTTTCTGTTACAAATTATTCAAATATGTAGAGTGATCTATAACTTATTTCTGCTGTATGATTTCATTATCATTTCAGAGTACTAAACTTGTGCAGTTATTTCTCTGTGACACTTAATTTAAAAGTGTCATTCTTAGTGAGATAGCTTTTATAAAGATTGCTTAAAACTTACTGAGATATTTATTCTGCTTTAAAGGGACATTATTAAGATCAAATTTTGACTTTTGTTATTTTGGATTTACATCTGTGTAACTGAAGTCAGAAACTGGTCAGGACTGCTATATAACACTTAATTAACTCTTACATACCTTGTAATTGCCCTACGTTTGCATTTTTTTTAATTCTCATCCATAATATCATATCACTGCCTTTATTGTGAACCTGCAAATGTTGAAAGTACTTCTTGAGGGATTATTGTTTTGCAAAATATCTTAGTAGAATGTTGCAACTGTTACAATAATCAGCAGAAGTGAGTTAAATCATAATACACTTCACTTTACATATTGTTATATTTTACAGAGTCTTAAAGACTGGTAGACCTAAAACAGACCAACTAGTTTTGTTCTGATTTATTGGATTGTGCATACCTTTTTACATTTTTCTGAACAAGTAGTGTACTAAAATCAGGTTCCTGCTCTTGAAGAGCAAGGTTATAACTTCCAATAACCTGCTTGTTCACAAAAAACTAAGCAGGCATGAGAGAGACAATATGACATTCTGATGTGTACCCACATCTGTTTTAATAAATAAATAAAATACCACCATCCTATATTGTTGTTGAGGGATAGTGCTGAACAGTAGAAGTTGCCATTTAGCTATACTGCAGTTTTCATTTTATGGTGGAGAAACCTTGCATGTTTGTGTGTTTCTAATTTAATTAATTGGACAGTAACATTGTGTTCTGTTGTTAGTTCTGATTGGAGGGAGGAATATGTTTGTGGCCTCTGCCATGGCCATAATTTATTAAAAATCTTTGTGAACAGTATTTGAAAGAGACATCTCTGAAAAAATTGTTCAGGCATAATTTTGCTATGTTTTGCTGTATTTTGTTTTGCTTAGGGTTCACTACTCAGCAATCAGAGATCATTGTATCTGCGTTAGTGAAAATTATGAATACCAACATGGATGTGATTTACAAGGACATGGTGACCAAAGTACAACAGGTGAGGTACAGGAAGGTGTTGAATTTAAAGAAAACCAAAATTTAATGTTTCCACTAGTAAAACATGTAACTTGGTATTTAAGGAATGACTGTGCTTCAAATTGTACCTTACATTTTGAACAGCAAAGAAATTCGGGGTTAAAAATACAATGTAAGCATCCCTATATATCTTCTGGGTGTTTTCAAACTGGATGCTTGATTTATATTTAGTTTTGAGGCCTGATTTTTATTTTCCCCTATTCTCAAATGCACAAACAAGTGTTGCTATGGATTTTGAATTTCAACTATTGTGATTCAGTGCACCACCCAGATGCAGACTTTTCAAGCTCAAGTGCAATACAGGCCATCATTTTGGGGTTGAAATGGTAATTGACTAGAGAATTTTTAGGTAAGAGATTGAGATATGTGACACACGCAAATTGACTGGCACATGAGATATAGCGAATAGTGCAAGTCTTCCCAAGAAAGACAAACCCATTTGCTATCACAAGGAAGTAAGGGTCTCCTTGGCTCTTCTTTGAGTGGTTGCACTTGTCCATTCCACTGTAGGCATTCGTGCAATCCAGTGCACAGTTCTCAGAGAGATTTTCCCTTTGTGGTATCCATTAGGGCGTCATAAGTTCTGTCTGCTGTCTCACACCTAGGCACAGGCATAAAGGGTCAAGCTGCCCCTGACCCACCTCAGTTCCTTCCTATCACCCATGATGGTTATTAGAGTTTCCTGTCCTCCTTCAAGTTTTAGTCAAATCCTGTAAATACAGTACACCCTCGCTACAACAAACCCATTGGGATCAAAGCCATTTGTTCATTATAGCCAGGAGTCTGTTATAGCAAAAGTGTCAGTGAGGATGGGGCGGCTGACAGCTCCTCCAGCTCTGTAGCTGGGCTCGAGGTGGAATCCAGGGACCAGGTTCATTATAACTGAAGGTTTGTTATTATGAAGGGAATATAGTGAGGGTGTACTGTAGTACCCATTGTATAGTTAGTTCAGTTTAATAGGTAGTTAGTCAGTTTTAAAAAAAAAAAATGTTTTTTGTGTGGTTCTGGCACCTGGTCTCGGTTCCAGCCTTGGTACTGGAGATATACCATGCGCTCTGGGTTTCAAGCCCTGCCACTCTAAGGGTATGTCTACACTACGGAATAAGGTCGAATTTATAGAAGTCGGTTTTTTAGAAATCGGTTTTATAAATTCGAGTGTGTGTGTCCCCACAGAAAATGCTCTAAGTGCATTAAGTGCATTAACTCAGCGGAGCGCTTCCACAGTACCGAGGCAAGCGTCGACTTCCGGAGCGTTGCACTGTGGGTAGCTATCCCACAGTTCCCGCAGTCTCCGCTGCCCATTGGAATTCTGGGTTGAGATCCCAATGCCTGATGGGGCTAAAACATTGTCGCGGGTGGTTCTGGGTACGTGTCGTCAGGCCCCCGTTCCCTCCCTCCCTCCGTGAAAGCAAGGACAGACAATCATTTCGCGCCTTTTTTCCTGAGTTACCTGTGCAGACGCCATACCACAGCAAGCATGGAGCCCGCTCAGGTAACCGTCACCCTATGTCTCCTGGGTGCTGGCAGACGCGGTACGGCTTTGCTGCACAGTAGCAGCAACCCCTTGCCTTCTGGCAGCAGACGGTGCAATACGACTGGTAGTCGTCCTCATCGTGTCCGAGGTGCTCCTGGCCGCGTCGGCTGGGAGCGCCTGGGCAGACATGGGCTCAGGGACTAAATTTGGAGTGACTTGACCAGGTCATTCTCTTTAGTCCTGCAGTCAGTCCTATTGAACCGTCTTATGGTGAGCGGGCAGGCGATACGGACTGCTAGCAGTCGTACTGTACCATCTTCTGCCAGGAGGCAAGAGATGAGGATTGTAAGTGTATTATCTTTGAGGAGGCAAGAGATGGGGATGGCTAGCAGTCGTACTGTACCATCTTCTGCCGAGCAGCCATGAGATGTGGATGGCATGCAGTCCTTCTGCACCGTCTGCTGCCAGCCAAAGATGTAAAAGATAGATGGAGTGGGTCAAAACAAGAAATAGACCAGATTTGTTTTGTACTCATTTGCCTCCTCCCCTATCTAGGGGACTCATTCCTCTAGGTCACACTGCAGTCACTCACAGAGAAGGTGCAGCGAGGTAAATCTAGCCATGTATCAATCAGAGGCCAGGCTAACCTCCTTGTTCCAATAACAACGATAACTTAGGTGCACCATTTCTTATTGGAACCCTCCGTGCAGTCCTGCCTGAAATACTCCTTGATGTACAGGCACCCCCTTTGTTGATTTTAGCTCCCTGAAGCCAACCCTGTAAGCCGTGTCGTCAGTCGCCCCTCCCTCCGTCAGAGCAATGGCAGACAATCGTTCCGCGCCTTTTTTCTGTGCGGACGCCATACCACGGCAAGCATGGAGCCCGCTCAGCTCACTTTGGCAATTAGGAGCACATTAACCACCACACGCATTATTCAGCAGTATATGCAGCACCAGAACATGGCAACGCGATACCGGGCGAGGAGGCGACGTCAGCGTGGTCCCGTGAGTGATCAGGACATGGACACAGATTTCTCTGAAAGCATGGGCCCTGACAATGCATGCATCATGGTGCTAATGGGGCAGGTTCATGCTGTGGAACGCCGATTCTGGGCTCGGGAAACAAGCACAGACTGGTGGGACCGCATAGTGTTGCAGGTCTGGGACAATTCCCAGTGGCTACGAAACTTTTGCATGCGTAAGGGCACTTTCATGGAACTTTGTGACTTGCTTTCCCCTGCCCTGAAGCGCATGAATACCAAGATGAGAGCAGCCCTCACAGTTGAGAAGCGAGTGGCGATAGCCCTGTGGAAGCTTGCAACGCCAGACAGCTACCGGTCAGTTGGGAATCAATTTGGAGTGGGCAAATCTACTGTGGGGGCTGCTGTGATGCAAGTAGCCCATGCAATCAAAGATCTGCTGATATCAAGGGTAGTGACCCTGGGAAATGTGCAGGTCATAGTGGATGGCTTTGCTGCAATGGGATTCCCTAACTGTGGTGGGGCTATAGACGGAACCCATATCCCTATCTTGGCACCGGAGCACCAAGCCGCCGAGTACATAAACCGCAAGGGGTACTTTTCGATAGTTCTGCAAGCTCTGGTGGATCACAAGGGATGTTTCACCAACATCAGCGTGGGATGTTTCAAAAGCTGCAGGAAGGGACTTTATTCCCAGACCAGAAAATAACTGTTGGGGATGTTGAAATGCCTATATGTATCCTTGGGGACCCAGCCTACCCCTTAATGCCATGGCTCATGAAGCCATACACAGGCAGCCTGGACAGTGGTCAGGAGCTGTTCAACTACAGGCTGAGCAAGTGCAGAATGGTGGTAGAATGTGCATTTGGACGTTTAAAGGCGCGCTGGCGCAGTTTACTGACTCGCTTAGACCTCAGCGAAACCAATATTCCCACTGTTATTACTGCTTGCTGTGTGCTCCACAATATCTGTGAGAGTAAGGGGGAGACGTTTATGGCGGGGTGGGAGGTTGAGGCAAATCGCCTGGCTGCTGGTTACGCGCAGCCAGACACCAGAGCGGTTAGAAGAGCACAGGAGGGCGCGGTACGCATCAGAGAAGCTTTGAAAAACAGTTTCATGACTGGCCAGGCTACGGTGTGAAAGTTCTGTTTGTTTCTCCTTGATTAACCCCCCCGCCCCTTGGTTCACTCTACTTCCCTGTAAGCTAACCACCCTCCCCTCCTCCCTTTAATCATTGCTTGCAGAGCCAATAAAGTCATTGTTGCTTCACATTCATGCATTCGTTATTCATTCATCACACAAATAGGGGGATGACTACCAAGGTATCCCAGGAGGGGTGGTGGAGGAGGGAAGGAAAATGCCACACAGCACTTTAAGCACAGCACTTCAAAAGTTTACAACTTTAAAATTTATTGAATGACAGCCTTCTTTTTTTTGGGCAATCCTCTGTGGTGGAGTGGCTGGTTGGCCGGAGGCCCCCCCACCGCGTTCTTGGGCGTCTGGGTGTGGAGGCTATGGAACTTGGGGAGGAGGGCAGTTGGTTACAGAGGGGCTGCAGTGGCAGTCTGTGCTCCAGCTGCCTTTGCTGCATCTCAACCATACACTGGAGCATACTGGTTTGGTCCTGCAGCAGCCTCAGCATTGAATCCTGCCTCCTCTCATCACGCTGCCGCCACCTTTGAGCTTCAGCCCTGTCTCCAGCCCGCCACTTACTCTCTTCAGCCCGCCACTTACTCTCTTCAGCCCTCCACCTCTCCTCCCGGTCATTTTGTGCTTTCCTGCACTCTGACATTATTTGCCTCCACGCATTCGTCTGTGCTCTGTCAGTGTGGGAGGACAGCATGAGCTCGGAGAACATTTCATCGCGAGTGCGTTTTTTTTTCTTTCTAAGCTTCACTAGCCTCTGGGAAGGAGAAGATCCTGTGATCATTGAAACACATGCAGCTGGTGGAGAAAAAAAAAGGGACAGCGGTATTTAAAAAGACACATTTTATAAAACAGTCGCTACACTCTTTCAGGGTAAACCTTGCTGTTAACATTACATACATAGCACATGTGCTTTCGTTACAAGGTCGCATTTTGCCTCCTCCCACCGCGTGAACGGATTTTGGTTGAATGCCAGCAAACATACACTGCAATGCTTTGTTCTACAGTGATTCCCCAGTACGTGTTGCTGGCCTGGAGTGGTAAAGTGTCCTACCATGAAGGACGAAATAAGGCTGCCCTCCCCAGAAACCTTTTGCAAAGGCAGAACCGCAAATGCCAGGGCAAAGTAATCCTTTCACATGCTTGCTTTTAAACCATGTATAGCATTTTAAAAGGTACACTCACCAGAGGTCCCTTCTCCGCCTGCTGAGTCCAGTAGGCAGCCTTGGGTGGGTTCGGGGGGTACTGGCTCCAGGTCTAGGGTGAGAAACAGTTCCTGGCTGTCGGGAAAACCGGTTTCTCCGCTTGCTTGCTGTGAGCTATCTACAACCTCCTCATCATCATCATCTTCTTCGTCCCCAAGACCTACTTCCGTATTGCCTCCATCTCCATTGAAGGAGTCAAACAACACGGCTGGGGTAGTGGTGGCTGAACCCCCTAAAATGGCATGCAGCTCATCATAGAAGCGGCATGTTTGGGGCTCTGACCCAGAGCGGCTGTTCGCCTCTCTGGTTTTCTGGTAGGCTTGCCTCAGCTCCTTCAGTTTCACGCGGCACTGCTTCGGGTCCCTGTTATGGCCTCTGTCCTTCATGCCCTGGGAGATTTTCAGAAAGGTTTTGGCATTTCGAAAACTGGAACGGAGTTCTGATAGCACGGATTCCTCTCCCCAAACAGCGATCAGATCCCGTACCTCCCGTTCGGTCCATGCTGGAGCTCTTTTGCGATTCTGGGACTCCATCATGGTCACCTGTGCTGATGAGCTCTGCATGGTCACCTGCAGCTTGCCACGCTGGCCAAACAGGAAATGAGATTCAAAAGTTCGCGGTTCTTTTCCTGTCTACCTGGCCAGTGCATCTGAGTTGAGAGCGCTGTCCAGAGCGGTCAGAATGGAGCACTCTGGGATAGCTCCCGGAGGCCAATACCATCGAATTGTGTCCACAGTACCCCAAATTCGAGCCGGCAACGTCGATTTAAGCGCTAATCCACTTGTCAGGGGTGGAGTAAGGAAATCGATTTTAAGAGCCCTTTAAGTCGAAATAAAGGGCTTCATTGTGTGGACGGGTGCAGGTTTAAATCGATTTAACGCTGCTAAATTCGACCTAAAGTCCTAGTGTAGACCAGGGCTTACCGAGAGGCAGTGCCTAATAGTAAAGCTCATCTCAGCTGCCTTAAGTGCTTGGGGGAGGCTCACATGAGCGACCAGTGTACCATTTGCAAGGGCTTTAAGCCCCATTTTATAAAAGGCAGGACAACCAGAATAAAACATTTGCTGCTCAAATTGGCAGTATATCCTCTATCTGAGCTGTCTTCATTGGCCCAAGTACTGAGCACCTTGGTGTTGGCCAGTAGTACACCTCTGGCAGTACCGATGCTGAGAGACAGATTGGCGTTGCTGGTACTGAGGAAGAGGCATTGGAAATCAGACTCTGTGCCAGGATCACTGGAAGATGTGAAGAGGTTGAGCTCTTCTAGCGACATGGGAGTGTGTTTAAGGAGGAACCACTCCCCATAGCATGCCTTTAAACAGGGGAGTTTACTGACTCCAGAGCCCAGTGTTGGCCTGCTGACACCAGCTCCCAACGCACTTTCGTTGGCATCTCCTCGCACTCCGGTACCGCAGAGTGTCTTCCCGGTGCCATCTACTCCTGAGGCATGTGAAGCTACAAGAGAGTTGCTAAATCTCTCAGTGTTCTCGTCACGAGCAGTTCAAGAAATTCACCTGGCACCAGTGCCCAATGTGCCACCGTCAGTGCCTTAACCTCTGCACCAGGCAATTCCATTGGGCTCAACCATCAGAGTATCGATTAAAGGGGTACTATCTAGGGGAAAGCCACAGATGATCTTCTCTGCTTCCCTTTCTTCAGACTCTGAACCTTCTTCACTGGTACCAATGGGTGTGGCACTGCCATTTTCACAAGAAGAGGCTTCTCCTTCATCAGACTCTGAAGTGGGATTCTATGTATCCCAACCTATCCAGTCGCACCATCAGGAGTATGTCGCCTGCCTGACGTGGGTTCAGCCTTAGTTCCAGGAAGGGGCTTATAGAAGGGACTCTTGGCTCTACGCACAGTTGGGGGCTGGAGCCATAGCAGTGGTCCTTCTGGAGGCTGTGGGGCTTCCTCCCTCATTCAAGAATGTTTCTACAGCCACCTTAGCAGGCTCCATCTACTGGTCATCAGGTGCATCAGTGACAAAAGCACCCTGTCATCAGTATTGAGCCTTGCTCTGAACAGATTTGGGATCCCTCTCATGACCAGCCCCCAGTACCGCTGGCATCCTCTTTGCCTTCTGATGAGGCAATTGTGTTGGAACCTATTTATCTGCCTTCTGATTATTTTAAGACCCATCAGGAATTGTTGAGGAGGATGGCTATGGATTTAGACATCCACCCAGAGGAGGCCTGGGAAAGATCACATAAGGTAGTGGACGTTTCGACATCTGTGTCTCCAACCAGAATAGCTCTCCCTATAAATAAGACTATCTTAGAGCCTACCAAGGTCCTCTGGTAGACCCCAGCTTCCCTGCCTCTGACTGCAGAAAGAACAAAGAGGAAGTACTCTGTTCCCTCTCAGGGGGTTCCAACACCTGTGTCATCATCTTCCTCCAGATTCCCTTGTGGCAGCAGCCAATAAGAAAGAGAGACAGACAGGACAACAGGCAACAACCCCCAAAAATTGAGGATGAGAAGCTGGACTTACTTGGGAGGAAGCTTTATTCCACAGGAGATTACAGCTTCATATTGGAAATCAGAAAGCTTTGCTGGGGTGCTACAATTTCATCCTGGGGGATATAGTTTCAGAGTTTCAAAGACACGTCCCAGACAAGGTGAAATAGGAGTTCCGGTGTTTGATAGAGGAGGGCAGGTTGGTTGCCAGAATGGTTCTGCAGGCAGGTCTTGATGCAGCAGATTCTGCCCCTTGCAGCATGGCTTCTGCTATCATGATGAGCCACTCATCCTGGTTACACGCTTCTAGCCTCCCTCCAGAAGTACAACAGACAATCCAGGAATTACCTTTTGAGAATCACATTTCTCACAAGATGCTCTGCGTCCTCTCAAAGGCTCTAGAGCAACCCTGAAATCCCTGGACATTTGCACCCCAGCAGTGAAGTGGGAGGCCTTTTGTTCTCATCAGGCCCAGAATTTTGGGGGGGGGGGTTGCCCCTCAAGCCCACGATCTGCCAAGGAGAAGGAGCAGAGGTTACAAAAGGCACCCACCACTGCCCTCTGCTTTGGCAGTCACCAGTTCATCAAGGCAGGTAGCATCTTCCAAGAGCTCATTTTGATGGGCAGGTCAAGAGCATTTTACGAGTTCTAAGAGTGCCTCCTTTTTATTTTACAATTTTTTTCAAACTGCTTGTCCCACTTCTGTCGTCATTGGGCCCACATCACAACAGATTGGTGGATGTGGGATATAGGCTCCAAATTTATTTCTTCCTCTCCTTCCCCATCCCTCTTCAGGGACCCCTCTCACAAAGCAGCATTATTACAAGAAATACAATCACTCCTCTTTGTAGAAGCTATAGAGGAGGTCCCTCCTTTGTTCAGGGGAAAGGGATTTTACTCTCAGTACTTCCTGATCCCAAAGATAAAAGGGAGCCTAGATCTAAGGTAGTTAAACAAGTTATTACAAAAATTGCTATTCCCGATGGTCACTCTAGCTTCCATAATCCCTTCCCTAGAGCTGGGGGACTGATATGCTGCTCTTGACTTAAAGGATGCCTTCTTTCACATGGCGATTCATAAGAGCCACAGAAAATTTCTGAGATTCATTGTCAGCAGTTGCCATTATTAGTTTACAATGGTTCCCTTTAATCTCTTGGCTGCCCCACTTGTTTTTCAAAGTGCATTGCAGTAGTAGAAGCTTTCTTCTGGAGGTCGGGGTTATGTAGTCCCTTACTTGGATGACTGGCTGATAAGAGGTCAATCCAGGTCGCAGGTGATGTCCAGCATAGGCATAATCTGATCCACCTTCAGTGCACTTGGTCTGCTGATCAACTCAGACAAGTCAGTCCTATCTGTGGAACAGAATTCATTGGAGTGGGGTTGGACTCTACAGCAACCAGGGCCTTACTATTGCCGAAAAGGTTTCAGGCAATGCAAAACCTCATTCTGGACTTAAGAGCTTATTCTCTCACCCCGGGGATGTAAGTTTAGGCACATGGCGGAGTGGCACTTTCATGATCCAGTACTTCAGACTGTCTCTCACACGCCTTCAAGGCTAGTTGGCAGAGGTGTATTAACTAAAAAAGCATCCCATAGATATGTTAGTGCACATACCAAGTCACATCTTATCTTTCCTGGGTCTGTCTACCAATCAAATCAACATCTGCAAGGGAGTTCCTTTCACCCTGCCTCAGCAATCTCTTACTTTAGTTACTAATGCCTCAGACATGGGTTGTGGGGGCTCATGTGAGACCCCTGCAGATGCAAGATCTCTGGTCTCCCCAAGATCTCAGCCTACATGTAAACATCAAGGAGTTGTGCTTACCTTGTATGGCTTTCCTTCCTCTTGTTCGGGTGAGGGGAATATTGGTGCCATGTTTTATGTAAACTTTGTTGGGAAGCAATATTCCTCTGGGACTTCTGCATCGACACCTCTATGCTTCCGAATACAGCCCACCTCTTGGGTATTTGGAATATGCTAGCAGATCACCTGAGCAGGTTTTTTAATAATCACCATGTGTAGTCCCTTTGCCCAGATGTAGCAAGGTCCATTTTCCCGTTCTGGGGAACTCCCCAAATGGATCCCTTTGCAACAAAGGACAACACAAAATTTCACCAGTTCTGCTTCAGAGCAGAACTGAGCCTGGGTTCATTGACAGATGCTTTTCTACTGCTGTGGTCACTTTTCTCCCTATCCCTCTTGTTCTGTGCAAGGCCAACCAGGACAAGGCCTGTCTTGTAGCAATTTGCCCTGGTATGGCCCCATCAACACTGGTTTTCTCATCTCTTGGACCTCTCAATTAGTCCCTCACTATCACTCCCATTTCACACAGACCTGATTGCTGAGAAGTTTGGCTGCCTCCTCCACCCCAGTCTTCAGGCCCTTCACCTAAAAGCCTGGAGTCTTCGTCTTTAACTTCAGTGGAGGAGTCCTACTCTAGAGAGATGCAGAAGGTACTGCTGAATAGTAGTAGAAAACCATCAAACAGGATGACTTACCTCTCCCATTTAGCAAGGTTTTCCGTCTGGTTGAAGCTGAAAGGGGTCTCCCATATTCCTGCTTCTATTCAGCATAGTCCAGCCTATCTTTTGTATCTGAAATATCAAGGATTGGCAATTAGCTCAATCACACTATGCCTAGTGGCTGTTATCAGCATTCCACCCTCATGTGGATAACCTCTCCTTTTTTTCCAACCCGATGACTATAAGGTTTTAAGACTATTTATGCATGTACAGAACCGTGTTCTACCAGGGAGCTTGAATCTAGTCTTAACAAAGCTGATGGGTCCCCCCCTTTGAGCCATTAGTGACCTGCTCTCTGTTGCACCTTTCAGTGAAGGTAGTGTTTTTAGTAGCCATTACATCAGTCAGGAGAGTTGAGAGCCCTAGTATCAGATTATCCAAATATGGTTTCTTACGCAGATAAAGTTTACCTTCATCCCCATCTAAGGTTGGGTACAATAGTGGTCTCCACTTTTCATATCAAGCAAGTAGTTTTCTTGCTAACCTTCTTCCCAAAGCCTCACCGTAATAAGGGAGAGGAGAGATTGCACACCATAGATCTCAGAAGAGCTGTAGTGTTTTATCTAGAACAGACTAAACCTTTCCATTTTTTGTTTAAGTTGTTCATTGCTTTTGCAGTCAGAATGAAGGGCAGTCCTGTTTCCACACAGAGGAGTTTATCATGGATATCCAGTTGTATTCACCTATGTTATGAGTTGGCTAGCCCCAGATAGAGTACTGAGACGTTGACTAGATTCCAAGTGACTTCTGTGACATTTCTGGCTAACATCCACATTTGCAAGGTGGCAACCTGGTCATCATGTCACGCTTTCGCTTCTCGCTAAGCAATCTCTCAGCAATCTAGAGACGATGCTAAATTTGGACAAGTAGTCTTCCAGTCCCTGTTCAAATAGACTCCGAATCAGTGGTCCTGGAGGAGTAGTACCCCCTGGCTTGAAGTGGT